TCTTGTAGGGACGCAATGGCTAAGACACCGAGCTTGTCGATCAGAAAGTTCGGCAGTTCGGCGGTTCGAATCCCTAGCGCCGTGTAACAGAGTGAACACCCATTACTTATCCCAGCTTCTGCCAACCTAACAGTTCAAAAACACATAAAAATGCAAGTAGAAAAATAGGAACCACCTTTGGTGGGGAGGTAACAGCGTTCTGCGTACCTTCGGCATTTAGCCATGCTGGCCACATGATTACGGAAAAGTCTTCAGACAGAGCTGGCCCTTCAGCTATGAAATGGAGATGAGCACCACCCTCTAGAGTCAGGAATGACTAGTACATATGTTCGAGGGGAACTCTTACCTTTAAAATATTTTTATGGTCTTTCTGAACTGAAATGCCATGAATCAGTGGTCCACGAAAGGCACTAGCATTAGCATTAGAAATATCTACTATTGTCCCATTTCATCCAAATGTATATATTTGACAAATATGCATTAAAATGCATTTTGGGACATTAGTCAAAAAGAGTTAATATCAGAAATATTTACAGTTTGAAAGCATCTAAAATGAGTTCTTGCATTATCTGAAAAGATAGAAAACATTGCAAACCAAAGATACATGGTTAAAAAAATTGCTCTAAGCAAGAAATGTGGATTTTCTGGGTTCTATGAAATAAAATAATATATCATGCTGACTCAGACTCCTGTTCATTTGTATATATTAAATATAATGTATGCTTATTCATGTATGTGTGTATCAATGAGCTCATGTATAAAAATGTTATGTTGAACTTTTGGATAAAAGTTCTAAGAGGTTTTATATTTACATCTGCTATGCTCAATCATATGTGATGCAGTAGGTCCAAATAAAGTGGCCCAGATTTATATCTATAGATTTGTGCATGCAAATATTACGTACAATGTGTAATATCTAAAATCTTTCCATCAATGTCTGGCGAGACAAATTGGATTAGAAAAAGTACTCCTGGGAATGATTAAGCACCCTTTCGTTTTGCTCCAAATATAATCTTCCTACTATAAAATGCATGGGAGTTTAATTAGCTGCGCTTGACTATAATATGTAGTGTGTGCTGAAATATAACTGTAGTAACAATTACTTTCATCGTATGTATGAAGTGTTGATATCTTCAGAATGGGCTGTGCAAATTCTTACATGCTGGTGGCTTTCTGATGTTCCTGTTCATGTCTTTCAGGTTCAATTTAGAACATGGGTGTCAAACTCGCTGCGTCACGTTGCCATCATTTGAAGTTTTTCCCTTCGTGGAGCAGGAGTGGGCATGGCCTGCACTTGACACATCTGTCCAGTGGTGGGTTTCAAAAANAGCACCGCAATGGCGTTGACGAAGAGCAGCGCGGCCTGCAGCAACGAGTACAGTGTGAACGCCATCACGGCAGCGCCAGCGCCGCCGCCGCCGTCACCGGCTGAGGCTCTGCGCACGCGCGGGGCGCGCCCGGAACGTGGCGGGGGCGGGGCGGACGGAACGTCACCGACGCGGGCCGGCCGGGCCGTGGAAGCCACGCCCCCTCCCCACGCACGCCAAAAAGAGGGCGGGGCCGTAGCCTCGCTCGCGCCTCCGCTCCATCTCCAACCTGGCGCCCTCGGGCTACGATGGTCTACAATAACAATAGCATTTTATATATCCCTTCGCGGTGCTTTACAGCCGCCTCTGACGGGTTTACAGAGTCGGCATATTGTCCCCCATCAACCTGGGTCTTCGTTTCTGACACTTCCGACCCGGCAGGAGGACGCTAGGATGGATGGAGGCTCCATTTCTACCTCATAAAGCGAGCGGGGTTCTTTGTTCTGCAAGGCTGGGGGACGGGCGGGCTTTATTTTACACAGCAAATAAAGCCGATAAACAATTCTAAACGTCTAATTCGATGTTTATCCTATCTTTTGAAACTTTGGAACGTTAACCTTGAAGTAAAATAACCCCCCCAAAAATTCGCTGTCCCTACAATATTATGGGTGGCCGCCAGGGGGCAGCAGCGCTGGTTTTCTAACGCTCTGAGCTGCCCCTGGTGGCCGCTGGGAGTGTTTGCAGCAGCCGCCCTGCCTGTCTGGTTAAAAGCAGCATTTGTCTGGAGTGGATTCCTGCCTTATCCCACTTTCTGGATTTGCACATGACAGCCAATCATAAATTACCCCAAGACCAGGGTGACCTATCCCAAAAAACTTCCATTAACTTGTCCCAGAGGTGCTTTTTCAAGAGGCAACTGGACTTTTTTTTCTTTTTTCTTTGAAGACATTTCGTTTCTCAACAAAGAAGCTTCTTCGGCTCTGGATGAGAAACTTCTTGGATGAGAAGTGAAACGTCTAAACATCATGATCAAATATAGTATGTGCTAGATTTTAAAGTAACATGATTG